AGAAATCGGAACATGCAAAGTATATCTATATAGTCTATATAGTCCTGAAAACTAGGAATTATTGTATTGGACTTTGTTTCATATTTTTGATGTGCAACCAGCAATTACTTTATTACTGTGTTACTTATACTTAAAAGAAATATTTGTAATAATAAGTTAAAATATAACTATTTTATTTGTATTTCTTGAAGTTTACTTAAATTTTCTTAAGCCTTCAGTCAGCCAATTTCGTGCTATTTGGATTCAGGTTTTTCTCGTTACTTTGACTATATCGTTCGTCCACCCATCATAGCACTCTTGCGGCCGATGCTTCTGAAACCGGTCCTTGATATCCACTCCAGAATTCTTCAGCTCCATCAGTCATCAGTACATCGGCTTATCTGATCCGCCCATCGCCATTTTCTTCGACTTCAGATAGCTTAGTGCGACTTCAGATTTCTGTGTTTTTTCGTCTGTCGTTATTTATTTAAACTTTATTGTACAATACACTGAAGTAGAAATGGCGGACTTAATGCCATAAGACATTCTCTACCAGTCAACCATTGGGCCAAACAGAAAAAAAAACACATTAGGTTGGTGCTACACTTAAACAAGAAGAACAATATACTAGAAAACTAATCGATAATTTATATGGTATAAATAAATAACATACTATAAACATACTTATTATACATACATAATAAACTTACATATATATGTATATTATAATAATAAATAATATGATATGTGTACCCAAAGCAACATTATGCAGTGTCTTAATTTTGACAATTATCAAACAGATGCTTTTAAACATATCATTTTATTAGTATTACCTACTGACGGAAGTATGTTGAAGAGCAATCTAATATTGAACCCAATCATCGGTCCCATGTCGTTCCCAATTCCGCGGGGGAAATGAGACCATTTAGAGCTCAATTAATTTGCATCGAGTAATGATGCGTTAACATACTCTTGTGGTACTTTGAGAGATGAGGGTAAACTTAATTTTGTGTTCTTTGTTATTAGTAACAATAAGAACAAGATATTGAAATTTCATGCTGTGAATTCTCGACATATCCTTTCTACGTTTTTAGGCGTCGTTAACTAATTTGACATTTCTTATTACTACATAATATCTGTCTACCCTCTTTCGGCGATTCTTCGTCAGGAGACAGATATCTTATTTTTCTTCTGCAGTCTTTAGTTACCCACTACTGAAAGTAGACTTCCCTATAAATGAGGAAATCTACTTTTACATGCCAACCCTTACGATTTTGGGCTATTTGCATCCAAGTATTTTCCACTTGCTTTGCCTATATCATCCGTCCATCTAGCCTTGGAGCCAACGCTTTTAGTATTGGTTATCGGTCTCCATTTGAGCACTCTTCTGCTACACAAACAAATACATTTGTCCTACAGCTATATCTGTTCTGAAAGCCCAGATGTCAGGCACTGGCCGGTCAACTTATAACCGTGCTGAAATATCGGGGAAATAAAGAGAAGTCATACCGTGGGAAGTACCTGAAAGTAATGATAATCATGATAGGATGTATCTGTAGAAACCCTGAGCTCTTGAAGGCTATAGACAAAATTCCGTGCTAAGGAGTTTTTAGTTTACCTCCTCCGTTAACCAGACAACTGGCAGTTACTTCCGTACAAGGTTTTAGGGCATGACCCCTTAGAGGTTGGAAAAAAAGTAAAGGCGTGGGCCATTGACTTACAAATAAATGGACGACGGGTCTAATACAAAAACCACGAAAAAAATGTCCCAAGTCAACCTATTTAAACGTAGTGACATGTCAAGGAATATGAAAAAGCTAAAACGTTGAATTTAAATTGTAATGTCATCGCAGTACTGTCTAATTTTGCTTGCTTCGCTGTCAGTCGAACAAACGAAGATTAGAGCGTGAATGACGCTCTGTATACGATTTTAACGCCCTATAAGTTCGGACACTTTTTAGCGCGGACCCGACGTCCATATAATTGTAAGTCAATGGCGTGGGCCTTACTTTTCTGCCTTTGACTGTCAATTAAATATCAAAAAATTTATTTACTTCAACTTTTTTCAATGTTTTAGCATATTTCCTATATTGTAAATATATTAATAATTCTGCCCTTCATTTTTAGTACCGAAACTGGCCTTGAATTTAAATTAAGTTTTGCTTTCGCCCTAATTTGAACAATAATAGTTAACACGAAACAAAATAGAGTCACAAAATTGAATAAAGTGTAAAAAAAAGTGCGAAGTTTGTTAAAAATAAAATTACAATTTCTTGGACAGATTTTTTTTTACACAATAAAATTCTTCATACAATAAATTTTACACCAGATTTCCTTTTTAAGACGATCGCCATATTGTGAAATTTAATCAACTAGTTTTCTTTGTTTGAAGCATAAGAAAATTGACCTAGTTTACCAAAACGTAAACATTTCATCTACACTATTTTATAAGCACTATTTACGCCGATGGACATGCATTTTAACGAAGTCAGAGCTTTCAGCGATTACGCGATCAAACAAAACAGAAAGTGAACACGTTCCGTGCCAAAACGCAGTAAAGTTCAAGTGTTTGAGTTATGCAAATCTCAAAATAGGTTAGCATGGTCGCCACCATACTGTAGGTATATCGAAGGGGAAAGTGGCCTTGCTGAGTTAAGCAACCAATTACTTGATTTACCATGCCTGGGAGCCATTTGCGCGATGGTGAATCAAGCTACCGTGTATTATATAGTTTTATACAGGTAATACTTGTCTACCTACGCTCGTAGTTTTGTTATGGCTGCTGTTTGTTGTATACTTTATGGTTTATTCAGGGCTAGTTTGTACTTATATGACCACTTTAACATAATATTGTAATCAAAGACCGGAAAGCGTAGAGTATATTTACTTAAATTTCATAGAAATAATAATACATATAGAGTGTATAATAATCAGGGTTGGAAGTGACAATTATCAATTTATCATTGATAATTATCATCATAATAATTATCATCACTCACATCATTATCACAATAATTATCTTGATATTTATAAAATTAATTAGAACAACATAATGTTATAATCTGTAGCAATATCGTGTCATGTGTTTGTATCAGAGACGTAATCTAAAAGTGTCAAAGACAATCTCACAAAAAGTCACAAATCATTTCGAGTCAGAAATTAAATCGACAAATCATTAACTATGAATAAGCATTGATAATTATTCGATCAATACCTACAATGAACACTACGCCAACTGTAGGTCATATTGTGTTATTTTTATAAACAGCCATATTTATTTACTAATATTATGCTCCCCGAATTTTGTGAAAAAATAAAGAAACTACAACAAAATTAAAAAAAAGCAAAAAAAAAACGAATTTGGTGAAAAAAAAAGAAATAAAAAACAATGTAAACATAAAACTATCCAAAAATTAAGTACGTAATGTTCATTGAAGGTAACCAGATAATAATCATTATAATTATCAGAGGTAATATATATTGATAATTTCAAACCCAGACAATAATACCTCTCTCTGAAATCTTTGTTAACTAGCTATTACTTTACTGCAATAGTGTATTTGTGTGTATGTTTGTGTGTAATTACAGGCAAAAATATAACAAATTTGTTTATTTTTTTATCTTTTAATGATTCCAGTATTTTAGACGAACATATTATCCACAGTATGTGTATTATTAGGTACTGAACTTTATATAAGTATACTCTACGTATTTCGATATAAGTTTACAATCAAATGTTTATTGGCTGCTTGGCTTTAGACTGCGTGTTAGATAAAGATGTATGGAAAGACGACATGACTCTAGATTCCACACAAATTTGATTAAAAGTGTATTAATAGCGTTGCATTTAAGTTTATTTGAAAAGAGCAATCCCTAGAGTTTCTTGCTCGTTCTTCTCAGGGAAATCAGCATAGTGAACAAGCGGTAGCTTAAATGTGACGTTTTCAAGTGTAAATTTATTTTACCTATGGTATAAATGATTCTTTGACTTTGACTTTGGCACATGTAAAGCTACGATAAGCTGTAGTAGAACTGTAAATGAATAAACCGACCTCAAAAGTACGTGGAATTACATCTATTTGCCAAGTTTTATTGAAATATAGGGATATTTAGTTCGCCACTACACAGGACTTGACACAGGAGATAATAAAAATCGGTTGTCACTACTCAAAGTATATTGAGAGAAAAACGCCTCGAATTGGAGAAATAGCAAAACCAACCATTAAAATAATTGCTCCTAACTTAAAGTTAGGCGCTATTTATAAAAATGAATCTTCATGCGTTTACAGCCACCCTTAGAGGTGGATGATTTTCTTCAAAATGAAATGGGACCATTATGGAAGTACCCCCTTTCCAACAAAAAAAAGAATCATGAAAATCGGTTCACAAATACCGGAATTAGCGCGTAACATACATACAAAAAAAAGAAGATACAGTCGAACTGAGAATCTCCTCCTTTTTTGAAGTCGGTTAAAAATGTCATAACAGTGAAATATAACGATCACCACATTAACTAGACCGAAAACTAAAACCAAAAAATGTAAAGTTAGCAATACCAATTACCGTTGTCGAAAAGTATTATTACACTACTACAATCCACCTAATTATATACATTCTATCTTGCACTCCATAGACGTGTAAATTTTCACGTAATGAGACCGCACATACATCCACATAATGTGTAAATACTTACGAGTACACGAGGTCACATAAGTCCATAGTCATCATCCATTAAGGCCATCAAATATTTTGTATAGTCATTCTCATATACGGGTATAAAATTGTTTTTAAATATATTATCTGTAATCCGAGCGGAAGGTTGTGCAACTCATTTTTTTTTTATCTTTATATACTTTAAAAATTCATAAAGGGAAGCTTCAAATCCTGCAATGTACGTTTCGTTACCATATAGGAATATATTGTACGATCAGTTGAATTTCGTAAAATTTGTAATTCATCATCTTCTGTATAGTGCCTTAAAATTTTAAACTTTGCCATCAACGTAGTATGTCTTGTTCCAGGCGGAGCGAGTTTCTAGGATGCGTCTCGTTCCCTCTGAAAGATGTTATTAAGAGCGACGTCACGGGTAGCTACTTCCTGCAAGGGCGTCAGGCGGCGCCGGCGCACGGTCGAGACGTGACTGACGATCGCAGAAAGATGGCGACCGACAACACTGAGACCAGTACTAATGATGGTGGCAAAGACTCGCAGAATGATAAAGGTGAGTGTTTTAAAAAAAGAGCATATGATTAATATTAACTCAGCAAAAAATATGAAAGCATGTTCACTATTTTCTTTTTGTGGTTTAAGCAAGTTTCGGTTATTTTGCTATTGAAATGATTGAAATCAATAAAATTTTAGAAAAAATATTTGCCTTGTCCATAATGACACTTTGGACTTTGAATTGTTCTTATTGTAAGCAGCATATGAATTTGAATATTAAGTTATTAGTCTGACCTAGCTTGAGCTTTATGTGCTCTTGACCCTGTGCAATCGCTAATCTACAATCACTAGCTGTTTTATGACTGTAGTGTGGCTGCATCCAAATCGTTACAATGTTTGCCATTCGTGTACCATACTGAAGATACCATTATAAAAATTCATCAAACAATTGAAAACAACGCGTTTCTTTTTCTATTTGTCAATCTTGAAAATCCCTTCTGAATTCGCTTAGCATGAAAGTTTAGCGCACAATCTGGCTGGAATCACATAAGACAAAACATGCTCGGAATGTCCACTTTCGCGCAAAAAGACGCCACAAACCGTTTTTTTTTATAATTCCAGGCGCAGCAGCGAACGGTCCATCCTCAGCTGCACAGGCGCAGTCGGTAGCCGCAGCTCTGCAACGTGAGGCCGATGAGCATCTTTTCCTGCGGTATCTGGAGCTAGATCCGCCTGAAGATGCTACAGCGCCGAGGCGGGCACAACGCCATGGAAGGACTCCGTTTACGACTACCAGAAAGTGAGTTAATTCAATAAAAACAAGACCCGAAAAGTTCTCCCTTAGAAGACTAATAATAAAGGCTTTGTATTGACACGATTGTAGGATCACACAGGGTAACCATGAATCTTTAGGACAGCATGCGCCAATTATATACTCCATCTTAGAGCAAACCTGTAAAATTGCTTAATGACGTAAAACAGGAATGGCTAGTGACTTCTAGATTGATTTTTATCTTAAAATTGATTTTTCCTTCCAGAATTGTCCGTGGAACGAGTGGCGGTTTTGGTTTCACCGTGGTTTGGACCAGGCCTCCCAGAGTCGAGCGAGTAGCTTCCGGAGGATCAGCTGAGAGAGCTGGCTTGAGAGCTGCCGATTACATCGTCTTTGTTGGGAATAAGAATGTCGTTATGTCTTCGGAAGAAGAGGTCCGAAATCTTGTCAAGTGAGTTGTCTATTTAATATTATACTCTCGAGGCTTATCTAACCGTATGATTAAAATTTTCTCGATGATGCTTCAACAAAACCCTTGAATTATAATGTAAAATTTTTAAACCTTTAACTAGTGTTGTGTCCCCAACGTCACAGTCAACCATTTCTATGCGAATTCTTGATCAAAAATATTGAAAGATATCCACGCATTTTTACAAGCTATGGAAAATACTAGATTTATAACCTTTCCAGGAACGCAGGCCACACATTGATAATGGAGACATTTCGAAGAGTTCCTACGAACGGCGTAGGGATCCGGACAAAAGCTCAAGTGACCTTACCAGCTCCGGAATCTACGCCACCACCTCCTCCTCGTTCCCCTCGAGCAGCAGCCCTAGCTTCCCCAGCAACTCATGCTCGGCCCCCAACTGCTTGTTCTTCAACTAGCCAGTCTCTTGATAGGCGCAAGCTGCATCTTCCCCAAGTGACATTTTCAAAAGAGGTCGGTAACGGTATCATAGTCTGAATTAAAGGGGTTTCAAAATTTATATGAATTATCGTACTAGTCATCTACTTTGGCTTGGAAATCAAGTTCCTTACTTTTGTCAGTTAAATCCAGGTAATATTCATGGTATTTCAATTGTTTGAAGAAATTTAGAGAAGACACTTAAATTCCTTCAAATGGTCGGTAATCGGTTGATGATTATCAAAGTTACTTTGATAAGTAGATTGGGTTTGGTTTCCAACGTCATTTAATCTTAAAAAATTTTGATTTGAAATTTGGATTATCAAAATTAGGGAAAGTGGTGCTACTGTAGTAGATATCCCCTTATTTCTGTCTAGTAGCTTTATATCTTTTAAAAAGTGTGTGTTTTCTTTCATATCTAAGTCTGTTTATGTATAATATTCTACTAATAACTGCGTTGTTTATTTTTTGTATAAATTGACGTCACTTAAGTTATAAACTTCATATACATTCCATTTATTTTAAGCACTAAGTTATAATTTAGTAGTTTTAAGTTGTATGTCACTTTTTTTATAGAATATTAATTTTCTTAATAGCAATCAGCTGTTGAACTTCACTTCAAAGGGGAATCGTTACGTTTAAGCTTAATATGTTTTTGTTAATATTTATTTTGTTAATGTTTTTTATTTATTTTCTTTTGTCATAGACCATTGTGTGTTATGTTTTTATACTTCAGAAACGATTTCTGAGCTTCTGTAATCATTTTGTGTTTTTAATTTATCTAATTAACCTTCTTTTGTTTACTATAGTAAACTCAGTTTTGATTTTGTATCATCATCATATGACGTCTTATTGATTGAATTTTGGTTCCTGTTATTTTTATTTCGTTTCTAATTTATGTTCCTTAATGTTAAGTGCAAATAAATTTATGGCTTTTAATTTATTTTTGTTCTTTATTTTCAACGCCAATTTTTATCACCCTACAATTTTGTTTTCCTTCCCGCAATTCAAGTTTATAGCATGAAAATAAGTTTCTTTCCGTTTTTTATTATTTGCTAAAACCGTTACCAGTAAGTAGTCAATGGTTATTTTCTACCTAATGCAGGGTTTCTTATCCTTTTCTAGTCATGGGCCCCTCTCAAATGGGCTCATTCTGGGACCTATGCCCCTCTCAAAATGTCAAAGAGCACACGGACCCTTTACGAAAAGATAAAAACACTGGGTTTAGCTTTTACTAGCTTATATTGTTTGCGATTAAACTTTACTTAATTACGTATGAATAGTCAATGTGACTGTTGCTGTTCCATTACGTTAGGTAGGCTCGCCACGGACCCGCGGCGTTCTATACATAGAGCCCTTAGGGGTTCATGGACCCACAGGTTAAGAAACCCTGACCTAATACATTATACAAAATATACTCATGGACATATTTAGAGGAACGCTAAAAAAAGAGAAAATTATGATAATAATGTTCGTATGAATCGCTGGTCACATATACCAGAAAGTTTAATTGAACCTAAAAGGCCATCATTGAAGTCATTCTTTTTTCAAATTAAACATTCTAGTATATGTAGCCAATGGTTTACATAAACACTTATTATTATCACGATTCAATGAGTCTGTAATAAGAACACACAGGTAATTAAGATTACAATAGACCAATTACTGGAGGCAATGGTGAAAAATTGTACGTGCCCTAAATATAAGCCACTCTTGTAATAATAATAATAATAATCAATGAAAAGTTCTCAGTAGATACACCTTATGAATTGTATAAAAAAGCCATTCTCTAAGTATTCTAACAAACGATCATCGATCAAAGAACAAACCAATCCAACAGACTCCAGGCCTATCTACGGACGGGCGAAAACGAGCTCTCCTAGCCGTTATTGCCAGGGAACAGCACAATGCTACCTGCCTACAGTTTGGACTGGTGCGCTTCGTCTCGCCTCTTGCGGAACGGGCCGATCTAATCACCCCCAACGATCACCAACTGCTGTTCCAGAATATTGAAGAAGTAAGTATTTTGTCCCTATCTCGTTTTGGTTTAACTGCCTTATTAGACTCGTACAAGAATAGAAATGTGGAAAAACAGGGTTGACAATACGGTACAAAAAAATTTTGCAGATTCCTTCCAAACAAAAGTGGGCACACCGTATCTTGGGTGGCTGGTGCTACACCAGATTAGTTAATTGAATGCCCAACCTTTATCCAACAGATTGTAACATTTGCTATAGTCCGATTGTACTAATAATAATGGTTAATAGTGACAGTAAAATTTAAAAAAGTATATACAAGAGATAAGATGCCATGCCGTCAGAAGAATTCGATCACCTTTTCATCCACCAACTACAAAAACACATCACTTACGCTTAAGTGTAACATTATGACCACCAAAACCTACATTGGCCAGATATTCAGGCTGTCAGAAGACATCCTAGACCAAGTGGTGCAAGACGACGGCGAGATCCAGACATCAACAGTGGTCGCCGTCTACCTTCACAAGACCCCTGTGTTCCTTAGTCTTTATAAGAAGTATTGTCTAGGATTGAAACGAGCTGACTGCGTCTTGGTAAGTGGTCGTAAGATTTGTTACTGTAATTGACACATTTTAATAAATGTTAAAGTTATTATAGTAAAAACAATGCAAAATCAGTATTATTAAAAGTAGCCTAATTGTTACAAATTTTCTTTGGTTAATTTTGTATCTGTGGATAAATAATGAACTCTCAGGAAAAAACCCTGTAGTAGTAACTAATGATAATGAATAAAATAAACTTCTGGTCAAAAGAAAACTTAACTTACAAAATAACTGACAATTAACGCTAAACTTAACTATGGGAAAATTTTACGCAGATATAACATTTAAATTCTACCGCATTTTAATATGAAAAAATTGTATTGGTAAACCTCAGGTGAAAAAGTCAAAAGATCCAAGTGGTGCATTCTCCCGCTTCTGTACAAGTCCACCCATTCCAAGGAGAAGGCCAGATATCACGTCTTTGGTCCACAAACCACTAGAGCAGTTCCGCGAACTTCTGAGGTTGATGAGGGCAGCCGCTGCTGCAAACGGGGCTGGGCCTTATGACCAGCTAGAAAAGAAACAATTGCAGGTCATCGTGGAACAACTACAGGTAAATAGTATTGGTAAACCATTCTTCAAGTTGTAGATAATTTATGTGATGATTTGACAACATTTTAGATTTGTTTGAGTAAGAAATTTTACTTCATCAATGTTTTGAGTTTAAAAAGACTTCAATAGAGTATTTGTTAACAATGTCAGCGTAGTTAAGAAACAGTCTTATACTTCAGATGGGGTACCAAGATGTAACAGCAGGTTCTGGCCTAATGGGTCTAGCAGGAGACGGGAAGCCACTTCTCTCTGTGGCAGACTTAGAGAGCCGACTCGTGTTCACTAGGTGTAAGGTAAAAAAACTTCTCAATGCCTTTTAACACTAGTATGAAATGGTAGACCGAACCGGAGACAGACATGGCCTTCCTATAAATGTATCTACCAACAAGCCCAAAACCACTTGTTGTGAGATTCTATAGGCTCTCTTCTCTTGTAAGGCTCTGTAAGGGATCTTCTGATCTACAATAAATAACCCTTACCTTACACAATATACCTATGATAATGTTTAATGAAAATTTTCCATTATTCCAGCCGTTTGTCTTAAGTACACCGGGCCGGCAATGGATCTTCGGTGGCGAACTGTCGAAGGTAGAAGGCAGAACTGTCAGGCCTTACTGGGCACTATTATTTAGTGACCTGCTCCTTTTTACAACTGTATCTAGAGATCGAGTGCTGTTTGTTACTGAAGAGCCAGTACCTCTTACAACAGTGTCAGAAGCCCAATTTAATGTTAGGAAAAAAGGTAATCATCACTTCACCCTTTTAATGTAAATAGCTAAAATACTGAGCTTTGAAGATGTTAACAATAACTTCTTTGGTTTCAGCAACGGAATTTCGCCTTGTCCTTGGTAGAACTGGTGGCGAAAGTCCATTGGTTTCCTGTGCCCCTCGGACTCCTGGAAGACGAGTTACAGTTGCTCTGCGAGCTCCATCGATAGACCTGAAAGCTGTATGGCAGAGTTTACTACAACGACAGATGTAAGCAAACTGAAATAAATATTGGTACAATGCTGAAAAGATTTGTAAATAGCAAGGTTCAGTTAATGATGGATAATTATGTAAATTATTTTTCAGATACCGAGCTCACACAATGACAGGCACTCCTCTTGGTTCTCCGTTGGATTCTCCTGATCCACAACTCACGTTCTCCCTTGCAACATTGGATTCGCAGCAACGACAGGTATCAGCGTCCAGCATCCAGCGTCACTCAAGCATGGCGTTACTGCCAGCCAGCTCTTATCGATCCCACTTAAATATGCTTGTTGAAGACCGTCACGAAAAAGAAGTTCGAGTCAGTTTTGATGTTCGCACTTCAAATTCCCCAATTCCACAACCTGTTAGAGGACCACTGAGCACTGTTTGGAGAACTGCCTTAACACCAGATACGCCGTCACCAAATCTGTCCCCTGCTGACTCTCAAACGTTTTCTTCGCACTTTGTCTCATCTTCTAGTATTGACAAAAATGATGAGCAACAAGACGAACGTGCTACATCTCCAAGCGCTCAATTAACGCCTGAAGGTGGAGAAAATTATTCTGACTCGTCCCCTTGTCGATGGGAATCCTTCGAGGCAGATTTAGCTTTGGCAGATTTAGATGTTGACCCCTCTTATAAGCATGCTGTCGAGGAACGCATCTTCTTACCCGATGACCCCTTATTGCACCGAATGGGGTTGCCAGAGCGGCCGACTCCGCCGGCTTATTTAGAACTTTGATGCACAGAGTCGGATCCAGAGCTAACAGATTCTTGTTATCCCTGGAGATAATTATTATAATGAATGACCTAATGGCGTGTTCTAGTAGTCCTGCGGTAGAAGGTGTTTAGCAAGGTCTGGAACAGACCTAAGCTTTCGACGTGTAGACTCAAAGCCAGCTGTCCCCTAATGGTGTAGGAACAATTGGTGTAAAGTCCTACCTTCCGTAGGCAGGTCCCGGTATATTTGTTGGATTGTTATTGCTTATAGTTGCGATTAAGGTTGTGGTAAAAAAATTTTGAGAGACATATTTTGGAAATTAGCAGTATTGGAAGATCTCAATATTTTGATTATTAGCGAATTCGATATAAGTCTGATACACTTATGATGTAACAGAGTGTTCTAATACTGATAAAACTTAATTTACAAAAACGCAGGATGACCTTAAGAAACTTAACTATTACACAGAACTGAAGTTCCATTATATGGGGTAATATTAAATGTATATGCCAATGTTTACAATTATATCAATTACACAGGAATCAGTGTCAAAATGCAATCATAGGGTACCAAAACATAGGTAATAATTTACGACATCAATTTTTCACACCTTTGCTTCAATAAGTCTTCCGTCCTTTTCTTATGATGACCCCCAATAGAATTAATTTGCACATTATTTTTACATTTCAAAACACGTTATCTATTTAAAAGATTTATGTACGGAAGCAATTAACCGTAGGCACTAATTTATTGCTAATGTTGAAGAAAATTGTAAAGACTCGAAACACTGTGTATCTGTACATAGCCTTACAATCACTTTGTACAGGTCATGTGGATATTTAGCGATCAGCTTCGCGAAATTTGTCATCTAGAACCATCGTAGTGTTACACTAAAGCATACTTTTGAGTTGTACGACGCTTCTTTATCGAGCACCCATCGCCCTAGAATAAAACGTGTTACAATGGAAAATGGTAGTCGATGTGAATTGTTAAAAAATAGTAGTAATCGCTTTCTGTTTTCATTTCATAGATATAATAAATGGATTTATAGATATAATATCTCATTGTAATGGCAAGTGTCAATAGAGTGTGAGAATAGTCAATTCATGTATTTATTGTACCGCTAGCATCGCAAAATGTTCACATAACCTAATATTCTAATATTTCCGGGGTTTTGTATATGACCTTCTAAGAGAATCGTAGTTAGAATCCAATAATTTTCGATGTATTTGGCTGTGTGTAAAATTTTACTAATAATTATAGACGAATAGAACGATGACGATGAAATACTTTTGAGAAACCATTTTTACTCGTAGATCTGGAGACTTTGTGACATATAACGAAATTGGAAAACGTATATAAAGATTTTGATGTTTTGTGTTTAGATCGGAGCATATTCCTAATAGTCCATAAATAAAGTGAATTATGTCTGTGGTGAAACAGTTTTTCTTTTTAGGTAAGGATCATAAAATTTTGCGACGCTAACGAAATTTTCGAATTTGATGTGAACGACCTACCATTTTTCTTTGTAATGCAATGTAACATTATTTTGTCAAGTACGTAATTATTATTAAGTACACTACACATAGCATAATTTGTTACGTCGCATAATAAAGAAGAAACTGACTAAAACAACCTTTCAATTAGTCAGATTTAGAAGAAAATACGGTAAGTTGTTGAACTTTCAGATTTATCCTTTTTTTGTTTAACATCTTATCATATTCTAAAGACGATGTCAAATCCTTTTTTATCTATGGCACTACTATTATTTCCTAACAAAATTACTGTGATAATGGTCTTATAAATTGAAATTAAAACTGCCTAAACATTTATAGACAAGGCGCAGCTCTGCTGAAACGCAGACAGGTGCGGGGGGAAGTGCAACAGAAGGGGCGCGGAGTTCCAGAAGTCGTGGGTCCACTTTACACTTACAAAGATGGATGACGCAGTTGCCAGAAACCGAGGAAATGGACCCACCAGAACCGGACATGGAGGTAATTGACATCATGGCCAAAAATCCTGAAAATAAATCGAATTATAATATCTAAACGAATATTACTCATCCACAGACGTGGAGTCTAGAAGAATTAAGAAAAAGGTCCAAGGAATTAAATCTGCTAGAAGTTGCGGATCTAATAATGCACCATAATGAAAATAAAGGTGCATCGTCAGGAGAGAAAAAAGAAAATGAACATAGCCCATCCAAGAGCAGTAACTCTGGAAGTCAGGTAAATACATTTTGATATTTTATCGTAGGGTGTGTGAGATTTACTGCAAATTTTAATTTTAACTTATTTAAATTTTCTCTTGCAGATAACAGTCCGGACGAGTCCGGTAGTCGTGGACACAATACCTGTTTGCAGACAGTGTCATAAAAAGTGCCTATCAAAGCCAAACAGTCCTTTAATTTCACAAAAATCACCGCCTCCAGTTATACCAGCCAAACCAAAACTGGAAGTTTCACCTCAAAGTTCCAACTACAAAAGACGTTCAACCAGTTTAAGTGCAAGTGCCAGTGCGTGTAATGCGAACTATGGTAATCGTAAGCCAAAAAACTTTAGTCACTTAGAACGCAAAGGTGCTATGAGATTACGTCCCGAGGATGCTCCTATTGCAGCAGCAAAAGTCATAGACTCTATTGAACAGAGCCAAAAAATGCTCAAGTCAAAGTCCTATGAACTAAAAACTGACTCGCCCATACTGAATAGAAGCGTGCACACAACGTCCACAAAAAGTCAATTGGAATTAAGGAAAGACAACTATATAAGATCGCCAAGTCCCTCGTCTAGCAGTAGAAATAATAGTCCACTGTCCACTAGTCATACAACCTGTAGTTCTATGGTTTTTAATTCTAGTTCTAACGACTTAAGAATGTCTAACTCTAATATAGCTAATCAAGTGCAATGTGTTATAGCTCAAGAGAAATATTTGAATGAAGTGAAGTGCGTCGAAAATATAACTCTTTCTAAAACAAAAACATCAATAACGAACTACCCATCACCTGGAACATTGAGAAAAGAACAAATTACAAGGCAAAAAGCTGAGAATGTCTTAACCAAAGTGCTAGGAATAAATATTTTAACTAAAAGGGAGAACGCAGGAACATGTTTGAAAACATCGTCAATTTTTTTAGACGATGATTCTATACATGAAGATGAAAATGACTTCAAAATTGATAGAGGGATAAGAAAATCCCCTCGAATGGGTATTTCGGCAGTTAGCAAAATGAATGGTGACATAAATAATAAGAAGACTGAAAGATCTGGAGATGTCAACGCTAACGCAATTACCGAAGGTTCGGATGATGATTTAGAATTGGGTCCTTTAATGTTGATGGGTTTATCAGCGATCAATCCAGCTGCGCATCTTATGAGGGTAGAGCCATTCAAGAAGACTTCATCGACGAATCCAAACAATATGAGCTCAAGACCTGATAGCCTTGGTGCAGCACAATCAGAATCATCTGTACCTAATATAGCTGTTGTACCTGCTACGCCAGATTACAATGCTACTAATAAGACTGTAAGTTAAATATGACCAGTCATATTCAATGCTAATGGACCACGAGTGTCATCACTTGCAAATATTTGTCTTGTATTGCAGGATGACCTTATAGATGATTCACCTGATTCCCCAGACGCACCTGAAGACCTTCCTTACGTATCACTGAAAAGGTTTGTTGATGCTTTATTTCCATTTATGCAACATGCTAATATTAACCTTAAAATATTAAACAAGGCACCAAATTAATTTGATGTTCTACAGATATGGAACAATGTCGAGCCTCGAACGATTTCCGTCCGATGAGACTGATGATGGTAATGTAAAACTGACGGAACCAGAAACAGCTGTTAAGCCTTACATTCCAGGTATACTAATCGGAATTGTAATTTGTGTTCATTAAAAAGAATTAAACAATGCAATAATCCGGGATCTCAGAAGCAGGTATAATCCACTATATGTGCGTTACTTCGTGTAAATTTCATAGGACGGGACGAACAAGTCGAGTGCCAAGTGTAGAGCAACACGCCTGTCCATATGCCAGTGCCACTCAGAGCTTAATAATAGGGGTTAAAGTATGAAATTGCCGATTTGTACTGAAA